TGACCCGCGGGTCATAGGCTGCCGACCACTGTGCTAGCCTATACTACTGCCAATGGCAACTTATTTCAGAAACCAATCAACCTATTATAAAAATAAATCTGTCTTAACTGGAACCTAGCCTGTCTTTTCTAAATTTTAAATTTATGTCCTTTCATTCTATCATCTTCAAAATAAAGCACAGCAAGTTAAAGGCTTTTATCTACTGGATAATCTTGTACATTTCAATAAGATCACCCTGGATCTTACCTTTCACCTTACAAGTGATCTTAACATATCTTTACAAGATAACTCTTCTATCCCTGCAATCATCCTAGTGTGGCATATGAATATGCCACATGTTTCTATCTTTATGTTGTATTACACTATTTATTCTGAATTTCTTCTTTGTTTTGAATATGTGCAAGGTTCACATAACATGTGGTCAAGAAAACCATTAAGTTGATCTTGTTTCAAGTTTGATTTCTCCTTGTTTCTTTGTTGTTCCCAAGAGCAGATAATACCCCTTACCACATGGAGAAAATATTGTTTAACTCGACCCATTTTGTAATGATTTCAACAGCAATGTCCTTCAACGGTTGATCAGGCAATGTCTAAAGGTTGTCTAAGTTGTAATTAGAATAACAAATCACATTGGTAGTACATGTTGCTATGGACAAATGCAAGGTTTCTTGAGAACTAAAGAATGTTGCATTTAAACAGCGTGGTAGGAAATGGTAGGAAGAGCCAGTAAAAGTCAATGTCCAGTGTAAGTAAACAGTAAGCACACACAGTGTTTCATTTTAATAATAAAAATTGCGCATTTCTGTTTTACACTTCATGTCCAGTCTTGTTATTTCATTTTACATCAACTCAGTAAGAGATTTAGTACCACTAAATAATCGATACTGGTGGATCTATCCAATATGGCTCTAAGGCTAGTTCATTTTTACCTTGATATACCACAATAGTAGCCAGCCTCTTAATCCTTTCTAGTAAGTCAATATCCTTTGTTAGATACGGAAATCAAATGTACATAATATTCTAAATGAGGTGCCCAACTAGCGATTTATATAAAGATAATTACCTCATTTTACTTGTAATCAATGTCTATAAATATATTACCAAAAGAAAAAAATGGCATATTACAATACCAGAGCACTTTCTGGGTGGCCTGAGTGACTTAAATTTACTATTAGCAACAGAGCATTAACTTGATGGCACTCTACTGATTTTCCTAACAAATAGCCTAGCATGGCCAGGTGATTAGGGCTCTCGACTCGCAACCTGTAGGTCACACGTTCGATTCACCTTCCCACTAAACATGCTCACCCTTTCAACTATTGGGACATTATAATCCTACTAGTTGTTGGTAAAAGAGTAATCCAAGAGTTGATGGTAGGTGGTGATGACGAACTGCCTTCCCTCTAGTCTTTCACTGATAAATTATGGACAGCAGATAGCCCTCGTGTAGTTTTGCGCAAAATTCAAAACAAACCAAACTAACCTAATTAAGAATCAGCATCAAAAACCTTTGTAAAAAAATCTAGAACCAGTTATAAAAGAACTAATACATTTTATTATAAGCATACTTGGGAACTATGAATTTTACCCAGTCTCAGGGAAATCCTTGGTTTCTGGTAAGGGTAGTTTTTTTTCTGGCATTGAGCACGATACCTTTGTATGTATTTTTTTTTGTTCCTAATTTCTTATTTTCAATGATCTAATTATTTAGATCAGGCTATGTAAAACTTTGTGTGGACAGACCATGCAATGGAAATTAAGTAAAATGTAATTATGAACAGTAAATAGATTTTTGGACATAGTTGTTGTTGGTCCATCTCAGCCATCCTATTCACTAAACTAAACTCTAAAATAAAAGGAAAACACTCAAAAACAGCCTTTATTATTCAAATATTTATCAAGCCTTTCCTTAATTTAACTGCATCTACCATGTCTGATGGCAATTCATTCCAAAAGCCAACCACCTTGCTAGAAAAATAAAGCTATTGTTACGTCTCCGTTTGTTAATTGATTTCCCGGAAATTCGTTCCGACGAAACTTTAGCGACACAAGTCCTTACTTAATAAAACTGGTTTATTCTTTCCGAATATAACTTTACGATACACTTAATATCAACAATCGCGCTAAAACAAACGCTATAACAACGAACGTGCTCA